TCCTCCCATAAAGCCACAACGTAAATTATCCTCAAGACTGACATTCCGACGAGTGTTCGCGATGATCCACCTCCCATCAACGCCCTCGGATTCCTCCTTCAAAGAACACACGAGCCATTCGAACGATTACTTTCTTCTGCTCGCGAAATCGGGAACGATGCTCTCTCTCTCTTTCTCTCTGTCTGTCTCTCGTTCCTCACGAGGGCCGTTTTCCACGCTCCGTATCCGCGAGCACAAATTCATTAACGATCGAAGGATCCCCCGGCGGGAGCGAACAATGCGTCGCCTAATAGAAATCAAATCGCCTCGCCATTTATAACGACCCGCCTTCCCTTTTGTTTCCCCCCTTCCCGCGTTTCTTTTCTTTTCGTCTGTGGACCTCCTTCGCGCCGCTCTTTTTCGCCCATCACGGAATAATCGAACAAGATTGATGAGGGCCGCGTGACTGGCGCTTAGAGAAACACGAGAGCCGTCGATCCTTTCCTCCTTTCGAGTGTTCGTTCGATCGTCGCATGATCGGAACTTGTTCTCTCGTGGTGTCACTCTCGGTATCTTCGTAAACCGAGCAGAAGGCGTATCGATAGCGTTTCAACATTATTTCGAATCATTTCGTTGGTATTTAGGTGTCTAGGGAAAACTATCGAAAAGTCCTGATTTCTGTTGATCCATTCTACAGATGTTCTCAAGATCTTTTTAAACGAGTGAACGCACTGGACCATCGTTCGAGAAAATTAACAAGCCTCGTGTTTGATTGACGTTGACGACAATTTCAAAGAAAATGGAAAATATGTCGGAATTACTAGCGAACGAAGCAACAATAAAACACTGTCGATACGTGGTCCGTTCCGCTAGGCTCGTCGGTGGTATAAATGGACCTTTAACCGTGACATCACGGCGCTTTTATACAGATACCATGGCTCCTGACAGTCTGGAACATTTGAGTTTCATGGTCGGGATTTTTCTATTGTCCACCGGGATCGTGTTTAGAAAGTCTGAGTCTCACGCGTTGGATATACATTGATAAATTTTTATAGTGCCATTTTATTGAATTCTAAACAGCTGGGTTAAAAAAATCAAGATTCATCGTTAAACTCTAATATTTAAAATTCGTTAAAATAGTAGGGGGGAAAAATCAACAAGTTTTAAGTTTTAAGAGTCGTCGAAATCTTCGAAACCATGGTCATAAGAAAAAATAAAAATTGTTTTCACTATTTTTACAATTCCTCTAAAGACAAATACATTCGTTTTTTCGTTCGCTTCACGATGTTTCAGAGTCTCTAAGCTTTAAAACGAGATCAACTGATTATCAATTATTTTTCGTTAGGAAGTTATAATAATAATTCAAATTATCGATCATCTTCCATCGTTGTTCGCACATGGAGTGCATTCAAATTACAGACAAAGAAAATTAGATCAACTACTGTTTTTTTGTAAAGTTATCCGTGCTTTTATAGACGTTTTATAAAAATATCAAGATAATGGTCGATAAATTAAAATTTACGATAATCACTTTGAAAAATTTCACGAGGGACGTCGTCCGTTCAACTCGGATACTTTCAACCCAGAGGCGAGGGGTTAAAGGAACTTTCGAATCGTGGGCAGTTGATAGGGAGAGAACCGAGGTGAAAACGTAATTAAGAACGCAGCCGATTAAAGCACGTTGCGCGCCGCAGGACGGTGAAGTAAAAGGCGAAATAACCGAGGTAGGGGCTCCATGTGTGGCACGGTTAGCAGCCCATCCATTTTTCTGACTGCTTGTTGTTTCGCGCCGGGGGTCCCGCGAGAAGAGAGCCGCTTCGATCTCTCCAACCCTGGCCCATTCTCCTCCGGCTGATCCGAGACGAGAGCCGCGACCCGGCCTCACTTGAGAAAAATCATCATCCGCAAGTAACATCAAAATTTCAAATGTGTGTTCCTGTGACATTGACTCACCGAGGTTCTTCTATTACACCCTCTGGGGACACTATACTAAGTTCCAAAAGTGGATAAAATTGAACGACTTTCAACACAGTGGATGCATGAAACTATTTGTGAAACATCGAGACTTCAAGATCGTGGTGAATTTAGTTATGAAACAAATTGTTCAATGTGTGAAATTTTCGAAAGAAAAATAAAATATTTCTAGCCTTAGAATAGTCACGTTCATGTCGTACGAATTGAAGAAAAAAAAAAGATTACAGTGACACGCGATTTGAATTTTTAAAATTTAAATATTAATTTCAACATCTTATTAATCATTTAAGGCATTTTATTCTTATTTTATTAAATTTTAAATATTAATTTTAATATTGAAATTTAAATTCTATAACTCGGAGGTTAGAAAGTACGTACAATGTTGCAATAGGAGGTTTCAATACATCTAATATCGCAATAATTAATCGATTACGTTCTCACGATGCAAGTCTAGAAAATAAAAATTCTTTTCCGAGAAAATATTATTAGTATACACATTAATATTACAAATTTATGAACATTTCTAGAAACCACAGAATAAAATAGAATCTATATTACAATGAGAAGGTAGAATAATAAAAAAAGCAGTTTCTCTTCTTTTTTAAATTCTGAAGAAATGAAGGAAATCGTAAGACAAGGGGTTAATTAATTAATAATCACTCTGACGAATATTGCAGAGGCAAGTACATGTTCAATGCTCCTTGTTCTACTGTCAAGATCAATCTAGTACCAATTATTCTATCGAATGCGAATCTAAACGAAATTCCAGAGGAACCAAAAAAAAAAAAAAGGCAAGTTAACTGACTCGAGTGATCGATGGTAGGAAGGTTAGATCAATAGCCCTGCTTTCCCCCGGATTATCAGCGAGAACCGTGGTCCTGCGACGTTCGTGCCGAAGGCGTGAAATGGCCCGGGACAGGAACTGCACGGAGAGAACGAGGCGCGGTGGTGACGCCTCGCAGAGTGGCGTCGCGTCGTTAAGACGCATTGCTTCCACCGTTGGTATCCGGGCATTTGTCCAGGACGACGCGTCCAGGAACTGGACTGCCGACTGGTATGCTGGTATGGGGGAGGATTTAGTGGCTGGCTGCCGTGTGTCTCCGGAATCGTGTTAGGATTTTCCTCGAATCGCAGGAGCGTGCGTTTGTTCCCTTTTTTTCCTGTTTTTTTTTTTCGAGTGTTGAACATCGTTGGCGTTGCTCCCGCTGGAATTAAAGTGAAATTCAAGTTATTGGTGAATGCAAGATTATACGTAATATTACGTACACACTATAATGATATATTATTACATTAAATGTGTACATTAAACATATAATGTAATATGTAATATGTATAACGTATTGAATTATATATATGCATGTATAACAGATATGTTTATAAATATGTAAGTATATGTAAACTATATATATATATATATATTTCTGTATGCTTTATAATATATTGTATATTATATTAGTATATAATACTAGATAATATATTAGTACACTAATTATATTATATTATATATTGTATATTATATTAGTACACTGTACTAGGTAGATTAATATATCTATGTAATATAATATGTAATAGATAGTAGATACAGTATCTACATGTAGTATATAATACATAATATGCAGTAATGTGTAATAATCATAGCAGAAGATATTGATTAGATGGATATAAAAATAGGTATACTATAAAGTATAATATTTGTAATACTATGTAATACTATATCTATGATATTATAGTTACTTTATAGTTACTTTATACCTACTTTTCATTATTTATAATTGTTAATTGTAATACACTGCAATATTTCATTTAAATTTTTATTATTATATACTATGACATACACATATTTTGTAATATATTATAATGTATATTATATTATTAGAACATTGTTACATTACAATATTAAGTGCAATAAAGAACTACGAAAAAAAAAAGCAAAAGAAATAATTGGTTAAATTCAAGGGGTTAAATGGTACCACAGTTCCTTGTTTTCCCTGGAACCGAACGATCGAGCATGCCACGAACAAGCATCCCAATTATCATCGTTCGTGTAATTGCTAAATAATAATACAAAAGGCCGGGCGATAACGATCGCGAGTCGACAGTGGAACAATGAGAGAATACGGTTCTTTTTTTTTTTCCCCTGGCGAGGTTTAATTAATCGGAAAAAGTAGGCGCGATAATTTCATGCTAACGTCGTACTCGAGCGCGCGATTGCGTAAGAGGATTGATCGTAAATCGCTGGATCGGCCGCCATTTTGCCGAGAGTCTCGCGGTGGCGCCTCGACTTCCGCGACGCGACATGGATCATAAATCGCGAATCGAGTAAATCATTCTTGTGGATGATTTTTCTGTTGATTTTTCTATTTAATTCTGCGCGTGGACTGGAATTTCGTTTGACTGACGCGAGAGAAAAAAGGCTAGAAAGAGAAATTATTTACTCCGGTATTTGAAATTTGCAAACTAGTAATTATAGATTTTACACGAATTTTGTTTTCATCATTGTTAACTACCGAAATGGTCAAAATGATCAATTCATAATCTCTCGGAGAAATTTTAGAAATTTTAGAAATCTTACAGACATTGTGTAGTTTTAGAAATTTGAGTGATTCTTTTATAAGATATGTAAATACAAGCTCTTTATTGTATTATAAACTTTCTTCTGTTTCCCGTCCACTCTAATTTCTTCGATATAAATTTCCAAAGTAATTTACTTGCTGAATATCAAAGATAATGAAAGTACAGATTTGTTGTCAATTATCATTAATAAAAATAATATTAAAGAAAGTATTAAGAGAATATTGAAAATAATAAATTACAACTATTTACTTCGATTAAAAATTTGGAAATTACTGTTTGTAATTGTTACATTCGTTGTTAATATCAGATAAGAATAATAATAATATTAATGAGACCAATAAGAATAATATAGAATAATGAATTAAGAATGTTAAAAGAATATTATTGAGAACAATGATTTACAAGTAATTACTCCATTTTAACATTCGGAAACTAATAATTGTTATAGATAACTAATTACAGGTTTTATACAAACTCATTGTTATTACTATTAATATTAAAATATACAGTGAATTACAGTCAATACATTCGTAATACTAAAGAATTATTTGTGTTATTTTCAATTGTAATTGAAATTTTTTTATTAATTGAAACTAATGTAAAGTAATTTAACAACGTAATTTATTGAATATTTTTGTAATGATATAACAATACAAATAAAATAGTGGAGCAGTAATAAAAAAAAAATATATATATATACATTTCAATATTTAATGTACATTTAA